ATACTCCACTAGGGGTAATTTGAAAATATTGAAGCTGTTTATCAATTTAAAGGAATGCAAAATATTGTGCACTAGGTATCCTGTATTTCTTTCCCAGAGATATAATGCAATCTCTGCTTTTGTAATTCAATGTCTTTTGAAGATTGCCTATTTAGCATTTTAACTTTCCTGTGCCCTTAAAGGCCAGAAGGGAGTGGGATAATAAATTAGTTGCCCAGTTAATGTTTTTTCATTATGAAAAAGTTAAGGGAAATATGCTGAAACATTATAGTAATGGCACTAGTTTGGTTTCTCCTCATCTGTATTGTTTAGTAAAAATAAATGGAATAATTTCTCTGAAACTACACAGAATAGTGCTTAAACAGAAATCAGATTGGAAAAATATTAAGCAGCCAAATGTATTTAGAGGAATTGAGTTGAATTTACTAGAACATCTTCCAAAATGATGTGACTGGTTATTCCAAGTTTAAAGTTGCTGCACTGTTTATGTGCCCTTACCCCAGCCACCTGCCCAGCCAGTAATTTCAAGTGCCTCCTATAAATTTGGCCCCCAATTTCAGTTTCCTAAAGTCCCTCAGGTGCCTGCAAAAGGAAATCTACATGTGAAGCAGGGGATAAATGCACTGGCAGGTCTGTGGCCCAATAAGGGCAGCACCAAATTCAGCCCTCCTTTAAGGAGCATCCTTTCATTGACTTCTCAGTGCAAATGTTCTGGGCAGTCTGTCCCTGACACGAGGCTTTCCTCTGCCCTGGCCAGGGCAGGAAAGGCCTCAGTGCTTCTCTTTAAGTTAAGCTGGCACTGGGGACAGCCATAGGGGGGTTGGTGACTTACTTTATTCATCAGCTGCCCATATGGAAGGTGGTGCCAGGGTTTTCCATGGTTTTACTTCACAGAGATTGTGTCCAATGGAGGAGCTGAGAGATAAGGAGATCAATGAAAATGTTTGCATAGGTTGAACTAATGTGTTTTCAAACATAGTGCAAATCCAAAGTCAAACCTTGTGTACCAGATGTACAATTAGTAAAAAAATGAAAGAATTTTTTCAACTGTTATTTCTGGTTGATATTTAAACATGGTTACATTTCATGACACTTAGCAGCCCAAGGCACAGATTAGCAACAGCACCAATGCTAGCTAAATTAAGACATCCAATTACTTTCCTATCCTTTGCTAAAGGGAGAACATTTTTAGGCTTGCTCACTGTCGCACCAGTGTAACCTTTAGGATATATCTTGGTTTTATTTCCTTTTCTTCTTCCTTTGTCCCTTTGCCAGAAGCCCATGTTACTTGTGTGCCCAGAGTGAGCCTGCTGTTGCAGGAAGAAGAGGGCTGTAAGCAAACTGCTGTGAGGCCACGGCAGCTCCTGGATGTTAGCTGAGGTGGGGAACTGCCTGGCTAACCCACTGAAATACCCACTAAGAAGATGTTAGCTGAGGTGGGGAACTGCCTGGCTAACCCACTGAAATACCCACTAAGAAGATGTTAGCTCAGGTGGGGAACTGCCTGGCTAACCCACTGAAATACCCCACTAAGAAGGTTTCTCTGCCCAGAGGGACAGGACTGGCAAGTAGTTAATAACCTGAGGCACTGTGTTTATTGGTCCATGCACAGATTCAGAGAGCATCATTTGTATTGCCTGCCTTCAGTCATCTGCCTGATGTCCCAAGTGACCCTTGTGAAGAGAGCTCCTGCTACCCCTCTCCTGTGACTGAGTCCTTTCAGCTCATGGAGGACAGAGTAAGCTTCCTAAATTAGAAGTCAGAGTATTGCAGCAGAATTTAGTCCGCCTGTCTCTGGAAGGATGGCAATAGTTGTGTGACTCCACATGGCTCTCTCCCTCTCACTGTATATGTGTGTATGTATACACATGTATGTCACTAAATATTTGCTGGCACCAGCAGCTCAGCATGCACAATGCTCATCACTACCCAGTTTAGTTACAAAACCAGATAATTGGTTTTCATCATAATATATTTAATTTATGAGCAGGAAAGGATGGCTACAGCACCAAATCTCCCTTTCTTTGTATTGCAGACTTGGCCTGTCTATATGAAATAGAGTAACTTCTGTATGACTGCAGGATGTCTTGTGTTTTCTCAAAAATTCATCTTCTGGGAAAGTTCCACTAAAGCTTAGCAACAACAAATGGAGAGTCTCTGCATTCTCCTTTGGATAGTTGCACTAATGGTTAGTCACAGGTGATGGAAAGAGTTTGCTTTATTTCTCATTTGAATTTCTTGTCAGCTTCCAGATGCTGATTTGTTTTCTGCATACTCTTTGCTAGATTAACAAGCCAGTTGGTACTTAGTATATTCTCCCAATGAAAATACTTAGATGCTGTAATTAGGTCATCTGTCTTTTTTTTTTTTTTTTTTTTTTAATAAACTACACCAGTGGAACTCTCCAGTTATTTCATATTAAATATCTACACTGTTCTAATCACTTTTGCAGCTGTCTTCTGTGATCTCTGGTGATAGATTATTTTTCAATTTCCTTGTAAATTGTGAAGATCTTATCCTACTGTAAGTAATTATAGGTTGTAATGCTAATATTACCAATTAATGTTTAAAAGAACATTTTTGTCTTTGCCTACTGTTTATTTTAAAGCTTATATTAGTATTTATTTCTATATGAAATCAGGTTTGAAGAAACTCATTGTTGAGTAAAACATTATGGGTAGGGCCATATGATTAGTATGAGTATCTGGTATTCTACAGTGTCCTTTGACCTCCATGAATCTTGCAGAAGTCTTCATTCCAGATGAGCCAGTTATTTCCCTGGTATTTGACATGAGAGTAGCCTCAGTATGTCTTAGTTACTATTGCATACCATAATGTTGGTGTACTGAATAGAGAAAATTTTAATATCATAATAATCTTAACAATTTTCCCATAAGACATGGGAAATCCTCTAATTGTTGCTTGGATTTTCAGATTTTATATTTACACACAGTTATGATCCTTGAGTATATTGTATTTTGCATAAGCATAACTTGCTTCATAGGAAAAATGAGATGGGAGACAAGTTGTTGATGCTGCAACCCTGGCAATGCTCAAGGCCAGGTTGGATGGAGCTTTGAGCAACCTGGTCTAGTAGGAGGTGTCCCTGTCTATGGCAGGAGGATGGGAATGAGATAATTTTTAAGTCTCTTCAAACCCTAACCAGTCAATGATTCTATAGTTAAAAAAAAAAAAAAGTGAGATGGAGAATGAGAACAGTCAAGTCAGAATGCCATCTGAGAATTAGACAGGTGATAGATATGTAGCCACATAGATGAAGATTTATATGCATTCAGTAGACTAACTCAGAAAAACTGTGGATATCCAGCTGATGTATTGCTAATAGTTTGGGATGCTTCAGTAGGCAAGTGTTGTCCCTTGTGTAGTCATTCACCTCTGCTTAGGATAGATGTACCTCTGTAGTTGTATTTGGTTAGATGGTGTATTTATGTCACAATGAAGTAAATGAGAACATGTGGTTGTACTGCAGACTGAGAATTAGAACTGGATTTATGAAAGCTTTTCCTGATGATGTGTTTAAATATGTTATGAAATTGATTATATAATCAAATTATACTTAATGCATAGTTGTTGTGGTTTAACTTTAGCTGGTAGCTAAGTACCAGGCAGCCACTCACTCCACCCCCCTACTCACCCCAGTGGGATGGGGAGGAAGAGAGTAAAACCCATGTGTTGAGATAAGATTAGTTCAATAACAGAAATAAGTAATTAATAAGTAAAATATAATACTAATTATAATATTAATAAAGATAATGACGATTAAAAGGGAGATAACAAACCAAGAGAGAGAAATTAAGCCCAAAAAGGACAAGTGGTGCACAATACAATTGCTCACCAGCTGCTGATGGGTGCTCTGCCCAGCCCCAAGCAGTGGACAGCCCCTCCCAGCCAGCTCCCCCCAGTTCATATGCTGGGTGTGACATTGCATGGCTTGGATTGGCCAGACCATGACAGCTGTGCCAGCCATGCTGCCACCGTTTCTTGTGCACCTGCTCACCGGCAGAGCATGGGAAACTGAAAACCCCTGACTTAGTGTGAGCACTGCTCACCAACAGCTAAAACATCACTGTGTTACTAACATTACTGTCATCCTGAATCCAAAATACAGCACTGTACCAGCTGCTAGGAAGAAAATTATCCAAGACAAAACCAGGACAATAGTTTTAAAAGCTGTCAGACATTTGTGTGGAAAAGTAATTTTAAAAGTGTCCAGTGACTTCTCATTTCACTTTGCAGCATTTCATTATTAAATTATATAGACAAATATTGACAAATTTGCTTTAAAAAAAGATAGACAAAATTCCTTTAAGACTTAAGGCTTGAAATGGAAGAATAAGAAACTAGTCAATATACGTGGTGCTCAAATGGCAAAGGCAGTAAGAAATCAGGTTTACTCATCATGCTTGTTGGCAGGCTTGGAAAAATCTTCAAATAGGTTTATTATTGCAGATGAATGCCAGGTTGTCTTTTGTGTTTGATTTTCATAAATGCTTGCCTTCAGCCTTGCCCCAAAAACATTCAAGAAGGTGACTTCTTTTGCCTACTTATATCTTGCACAGAGGTGATGCTCAATCAGTTTCTCGCTGGAGCACTTTTGTGTCCCACTGTTCTGAGGCAGCACACTGCCATTTCAGTCTGTGCTCAGCAGTGGTTCTGGGTGGATTGCTTGCTGTTGGTATACTTGACCAGAGAGACTGAAAATTGTTGAGTCAAGCTCGTGGTATATTAGGATCTTTCCAAGCTCCTGAAAAAGTGCATGGCTTTGCAAAGTGCTCAAATACTGTGTGTCACTGGGGATTGCCCTCACCTTTCTAATTCTTTTGGTGATGGATGTTGGGTTTTTTCTCCTTACAGTTTAACTAAAGCTCCTAATCTGGGAGCTCAGACCTTGTTGAAGGGCAAAAGCAAAGGAGGTCAAGTGCTTGTGTTTTGCTGAGGTGATGGACACTGGTTTGACGGGTGCCTCTGTCTCATTGCAGCCCCCTCATCTGTCAGATGCGGTGATCTCCATGGTAACTCAAACCCCCAGACTCTTGACAGCAGCCTGCGAGGAGCAGCATTCAGCAGCTCAAGGGTCTCAGGACCAGGTAAGCCAAAAGGAATCACCAAATAAGAGCTCACCTCCAGTGTGCCACCTCCTATCCTGTCAGGCTTTGCCTTGGTGAAGTCACCCAGGCAGTCAGGTCCTGCGTACACAGGTGATGATGGACTCCTACCAGCGTTGTCACTTAAGGCTGTGCCAGTCCAGCTCTCTTGAGCAGAGGCATTTGACAAAAAATCTGCATTTGTTCGGGGTTGGTTTTTAAGATACAGATTAATGAAGCAAAAAAGGAAGTACTGTACAATTCTTTAAATAGCTTTGGTCTTAAGTAATTGCTGTGGTAGAAAATAACTCCAAAACATGCCAACAATAAGATCTGTCTTGCCACTGTACTTACTCCACCGTCAGTACTGCCCAAACTGTAACTTTAGGCCTGAGCAATCCTATTCTCCTACAATGCATCAGAGACAGCTTCTTGTTCATGTAGCATTCATTGGTTCTCTGCAGCATTTTCAAATTGTTGCTGTGCTCTTTCTGTGCTAATAGCAGCATGTGGGGTGTTCTGGTTAACCTTTTGGTTAAGAAGGTACAGAATTCTTCCTCTTTTTTTTGTAAATAACGGAAAAAGGACAAGATCTTTGCCATTTTGGGAAAGCAGTGCAGACACCATATAGCTGTATTCACTACTCAGTACTGCTAGTGCTGTGGGTTAAGGCAGTATCTCTGGTCTTATATACTTAAATGTGTGGGAAGTTTATTACTCCCTTTAGTTGTCAGGCTTCGCTGTCACTTGTATTGAGTGGTTTCTTTGCCAGTTAGATTGTATTTTGTAAGTCTGTGGCTTCTGTGCATTATTTTCTAGGTATTACCTGCATTGTTTCTTGCTTGCTACATAGGTCCACTTGGCTGTAATGCACTGTCCCCATCATACAAAGAAATCCATATTATTCTAGATAACAATTCTGCTGCCTTCACTGACCAGTTTGACAATTTTTGTGCCATTACTGCTATCAACAGTATTTACTTCTGTATCATTGACGATATTGATATATATTCACTCTTAAATAGGGTTGAGTGAGTACTGGATGACTTTGTTGGAGGAATGTAGAGCACTTTTCAATTATTATTTCATGGTAACAACTACTTTTTCATATGTCTGTCTTAATCACATTTGATGATACTGGTAATAATTTCTTACTCTGAATTTTGTGTGACTATAAGGTAAATGCCATTCAAAAGTCTGTGTGTTTCATTTATGGAATTATGTCTGCTGACCAGAGTTTGTCACGTTATCAGGTGATTTAATAAAATACTCTCTTTTATTTAGCAAATTTCTATAAAATGGTGTTGACTGGCTTCAGTTTTGTTCATGTGATTTCCCAGTGAATTTATCCTTTGTAAGTTCAGTGGTTATTTTGCCTGACAATTGTAATGGCATAGAGCTCTATAATTACTGAGATCACTATGCTTACCATCCTCAACTATTAGCGGAAAATGCTACCAAACTTACTGAATTTCTCTGGTGCTCCAAAATGTATTGAAAATGAGCATCATTGAAATGATCCTTTCACAAACACTTTTAAGACTCTAAAGGCACAAACTATGCACTGTACTAATTTAAAGTTGTCTTTTAACTTTTATTTTGGTTACTAACAGCCTCCTTAGCTCTAAAAATGCTTTTATTCTACTTATATTCTACTTAGAAGAAAGTATATGTTGCTTGTTTGGAGTTTTTTTGTAGCATGTTTGTATTCCTTTAAAACATGAATTCCAAGTTGGAGTTGTTCTGCTGTTTCAGTTAGCCAGATTTTCCTATTAGAATTAATTTAATTGGATTTTCATGTGTAATCTGTATTTCAAGCTAATTACACCCTTAACCCAGAATGGAAGTATGATTTTTTTTTTTTTTTTTTTTTTTTTTTTTTTTTTTTTTTTTTTTTTTTTTTTTTTTTTTTTTTGGGCTATTTAATCATTACCTTTGGTCCCTGGTGGCAGTGGGGTAGTGAGAGCTCTTCACATTTTTACCCTTGTACTTTCTCCCAAGTGCAGATTTTTTCCCTAGCTTACTAGGCTAATGAACTGTCATGCTTCCTATTAACTAAACTATTTCAAATACCAAAATTATAATTACACTCTGGACCTGTGCATTCAATATGTATCCTAGCAATTAAATTTGGGAGTGGCTGATGAATTACTACTGACTGCATGGCATTTCTACCTTACTTCTCTCAGATGAATGACCTTCACAGTTCTTTTAGTGTTTCACAAATACATACTTAAGCAGATCATCCAGTTCTCTGATAGAGTTTGGTGGTTTGCTTTGTCTCAAATTGCAAGAGTATATCCTTCTGGGGTCTGCTAGTCTGTTATCTATATGAATTCAAGACCTTGACATCCTGAATTATCAGTAATTTTGAGGAATAATAGTGCTAATAATGCAGAGTACTATCTTCTATACTGTTGTCTGGCTCTTAGTGGAGATGTCCCCAGCAGTTAGGATGATAACTATTGATAGCTGTTGTTGGTATGATAGGTGTGACAATGGTAAAAGGTCAGCTTTATCGGGATCATGTGAGATATGTTGTATGAATGCACAGAGAATTACAGTATTTTGACTAGAAAACCTTGTAAAAAGCAAAGCAAAGAGATGAGGCTAAATTAGATGTAAAAAAATGAAAGGTTGGGGAAGTTCAGTTAGCAAAAGTAGGAAAAGTAGGTGTATGCACATGATACCTAGGAAGAAACAGGTCACCTTTTCCTAGTTTTGTGTTTCTTGTATGGTTTATTTATTTTGAATTTAAGAAGAAAATGGATAGGACGTAGTAGAAGATACCAAATGTATCAGCATATCAACAGATTTCTGTTCAAAGAGCTTGGAATAAGTGCAGTTTAGGAGTGTCACAAATGAAATGTGGTAGTGCAAGTTGTGACTGTTGGTAGAGGTGCAGAGACGCAGAATAATATAAGGAAATACTATTTTTTTTTTTTAAGTTTATAGAACAGTATTTTTTCAGAAGCATTCATTTGGTGTGATTGAGAAGAACGTTCCATTATCCATAAGTTAGCACTGACATATTCATTTTGAGGAAACATGTATCTTCTTTTTGCATAAAAACAAACTTTCAAAACAAAATCTTTATACAAATTTCTTTGTATAAAACTGCATTTTTATACAAAGAAATTAAGAGTAACTATTAACAAAAAGTTTGCTTGCAAATGCATGATTCAGAAAATTACCGTAATACCTCCATGCATGCTGCTCTGTAACAGGTTTTATAATTTTTTTACAGTTACTATTTTTTATTATTTTTTCAATTTATTTAGAGCTTCATAAGTGATATTGCACAGGCATAGGGTACAGAGATTTTCTGTATGTTAACTAAAGTTACTGTTGGCACCTGATCCCACCAAATAATTTTATTGGTCAGTTAGATTTATAGACTAGAAAATCAAACTTCTTTTAAACAATATCCTTTATAATTCTGAGGTTTAATTAATAAACTCTGTATTGATTTAGTTTTCTAACATCGTTCCTCAAGTGCCGCCATCAAATAATATTGCACCTCAGGGTGTACACATGAACTATTAATAGAGTGGTTATTCTTAGAAGTCTAATGGCATCATAACTGTTCACTGAAAAATAGTTAACTTGTAATAATATTTTTTAAATAACATATTTTAAAAGAACATGAACATTCTTTAAATTTGCAGCTGTTTCATGGCTGAAGTGGAGTTTTATTTATATATTCCTGGTATTTCTCTTGCTATTTGGTGAATCATGGTTAACTGAACTCTGATTTTATTAATTAAATATTAATTAGTACTTTTTGGGCTGTCAGCTAAGTCAGAAACAAGTATATGTAGCTAGAACATGGACCCATGTATTTTACATTGTAGTAGAGAGATGAAACTACTATTCCAGTCATAGCTAACTTCGGAAATATTTGCTTTGAGACCTTCTCTTATGCAGTACAGTTTTAACCTACTGGTGGAATAAAATTATTGTGCTGCCTTTTAAAAAAAATCTTTTATCTTCAACACAGCTGAGGTTTCAGGGAAGGTTTTCAATGATAGTAAAGAGAATGCTAGCATTCCAAAATGAGGTGGAAAAATGCCTTATCCTTTGATTTTTAAACCAAGCTGGTGATTATTTCAGGCATAGCTCAGACCTTGTAGGACTGAACTGTGATAATCCCATACTCTGCTATTTGATTTGTAGAGCACATTATGCTACCACATTCACCGTGCCAGTCATTTGAAAGTGCTAATAAGAGATATGCAAAGTGAAAAAAGGCAATTTGTGTTGTAGTCATTAATAAGTATATATTTAGTTCAGCTGGAGTGCCAGCTGCAGTGGAAGGTTCATACCTCCATGAGCAGCCACGGTGCCACAAGGAGGGGGAAGTGGAGCTTTGCCCAAAATTGCTCCTCTGAGTTTGCCCAGCAAAGACTTCACCCAGGTCAACAATGCATTTTCATCCACACAAAGTCTGCTTACCTGGTCTGGGCAGAGCTGCAGAAATATGCATGGGTCAGTGAGCTCAGCTCAGGCTGCAGCACCCAGGGAAGCTCAGGTTTTGCTCCTCTGGCCAGGCGCTGAGCACACCCCACGTGTGGCACATTCCGGACACGCGGTGCCCTCTGCCACCAGCCTCCGATGAGGGACTCCGTGTGTGCAGGGAATAGGCTGCTTCCCAAACACAGCTAGGACAGTTTTCCTCTCAAGACAAATGGAATTTTCTGCTTTTAAAGGTCTATTCAAACAAAGCTTTTATTTTAAACTGAACTATTTTCCCACATCTTGGTGTAGAAATGGAATTACTATAGGCAGTCTAGTTAAACATGCTCCTGAATAATTTGAATGTCTCATGCAACCATCCCACATGGAAACAGGACAGGTAATGTAATTGTTTTTTCAATAAGTTGTTAATTAAGCCCTGGAGATGTACAGGATCTGTATTTCCATTTACATTTTTGTATGACCTTGTTCCTATCTGAACTGCTTTGATTTAATGGAAGATGAATATAATTGATGGATAAAGATAC